CAGGAAACAGCAATGAATGAATTGCTGCTTAGCTTCCTTTCTCTCCTACCAAAAAATAGGTTCCCATCCATAATGAAGGTGCATCTTCCCACATTAATGAGCAGTAGCTTAGTCTAGACATTACCCCCCACAGCACTGGTGTGCCTAGAGGCTTGCCTCTTGGATGACTTTAGGTTCCATCTAGTTGACAGCACTAGATGTTGTGGATGGAATGGATGGAGATGGCGGTTCCCACTTATGTGAGGAGTCTGGCTGGGAAGGCAAGGAGTCTGCTCTGTACAACAGTCTAGCTCCCGCCCCCTCTTCAGGTGATCCAACCTTTCATCTTCAGGCCTCACTGCCGCCATAGGCCTGAGGTCTGTAGTGAAGCCAGCAGGCTGAGGGCACAGAGTCTCAGCACCTTGGATTTTATTTCTGTATGCTATGGGGACTGAGGCCAGGGCCTTGTGGGTGCAAGGCAAGTGCTCTACTGAGTTATGCTGACTTCAGATCCTTCACCTTCAGGGCTGGGCTACCTCTGAGAGCCTTGGCAGGGTAGGGACATTGTCCTTCTATTTGTGGGGACCCCTTGGTATCAAGACTTCTGTCACCTCCCGCTCTGATCCCACATTCCTTTTTAGATGTTACAAAGGCTCCATTAGCCATTCTCGTCAAGGCTGTTCATGTGAGGCATCTATACGTAAGTGAGGCCTCAGTCCCACGTGTCTTTGCTGGGTATCTTTGGCCTAAGCCCAAAAGCTGCACTGTTCAACAGTAGAATGCCCCAAGGAAACAGACATACCCACCCACTGTGCTCTCTCTGGAAGTTTAGGGAAGTTTTTATGCTTTCTGACTTCCTGCTCCTGTCACGCTTCTGCCTGCTCGGAACCTACCCTGAAGTGACTACGCAAGTGTCCTGGGAGACCTTTCTTGTGCTTTCAGCCTCCTCTCAGATTCCAGGGGCAGGGCATGTGCTCCCCTCTCTCATCTTCCAGGGCTTGGGAGGCTCTAGAGCATCAGACACTGAGCCCTAACTGTTGACTCAGCACCCCTGGCTCTTCAGCTGATGAGCACTGGAGTGGAAAAGAGAAAACTGGCTAGTCACTGGTGCTGGTGCTGGTGCCAGGCTGGGGGAGCTGCAACGGCGGCAGCACCCAGCCTTCTGGAACAAGAAGGGGCCGGAGAGAACCGGCCAGACGGCTGCGCCTCTGCCAGGGGCAGGACCCAAAGGGCACGTGCTGCCTTCAGTGAGCTTTAGAGTCAGCAGCAGGTAGGGAGCTGCACAGAGAGGAGCAGTGGCAAAGATCAGCTCCAGTGACTCTGTCATGCAGGGCCAGCCTCAGAGAGCCTCCGGTGGGATGGAAGTGGGGCCTAGGGTAGATCTCTCCCTGGCCAGAGCCCCAGAGTGGAGTTTTGCTCTGGGCTAGGAGGTCAGTCCTGAAGTGAGTCTGAGCCTGGCAGGGAGAAGACACCTCAGGATGGGCAGAGCAGGGAATGGGCTTCTGAGTGAGGCAAGGGCCTAAGCCCAGGAGCTTAGGAAGTCCCAAGAGAATCATGGAGCTGTTTCAGGAGTCTGCATCCTTCAGGGGCTCACAAACTCCTAAGGTGTCCTTCTGAGTCCTGAATCATTGCCCCGTCTCTACAGCATCCACTCTCGTGTCCCTGGCTGTGGAGGCAGCTGCGGAGAAACACTTGGCAAAGGGATCTATCTGGTGCCCTTGCCCTAGTGTTTCTCAACTTCCGCCCAAAAGATCCATTACTTTGCCTAAGTGTCTTTGAACCCCTGGATCCCTATGAACCACAGTGGGAGAGAGGAAGGGGTGGAGGAGGAGCTGGAAGGACTTAGATTCCTGTGGAGGAGGATTGTTGATGATGATTTATTAGCCAGACAAGAACCAACAAACAAATTCTAACATCTGTTCTCACCAAACCATCCCTCAGACAACAGCAGCATTGGACTAGGGCCCAGATTTGAAGGCTTACAGGGCCAAGGCTTCTTAAAGTCCAGTTTCTCTAGGAGGAAAAACCAGGGCATAGGAGGCAGGACGGCTTCCCTGCCTTGTGTTGGGTTCCTGGCGACTCTCAGGAGAGCTATGATGAAGTCGATCCCACATGTGTTCGTCTGACCTCCAGGCTGCTTTGGAGTAGGAGGGCAGACTTGTTAAGGGGACAGGGGAAGCTGGGGTATAAAGAGGCCCCAGTACAGAATCCAGGAAAGCAAGCAGGCTTCTTAGCTGAAGAAATCTCTTCTGTCTCTTGTGGAGAAGAGGGCATTCGGGGTGAGAACAGAGAACCCCGAACAGGTATTTTAATCCTTGCCCTTGGCCCAGACATTCTCTCTCTGTGGCTTGTTTCATCATTTGCATAACGAGGGAACTGGACTTAATTGATAAGGGCAAAAGAAATGCTGCTGTCTCCCCTCCCGCACCCACAGCAGACATCACTCATCAGTCACAGTGCTCTTTTCTGCTGAGCTTTGGTGTGACCTTAATATCCTTTCCAATGCCGCGCTCTAGGCAGCCGAGACCAATGGATTGGAGCTGGCATGCGGGATGACACCTCCTTGCCATCCGTGCAGCAGATGAAGGAGCTCAGCTCACCTGTAGTCTATCCACCTGCCTTCCCTAAGAAAGGACCCAGGTGTGTGTGAAAGTCTCGGTACATAAAATACTCCAAGCTAGCCTCTCTCAGGTCAGATCTACCACCTGATGATGAGGCCTGAGGGGAGCCAATCCTGTTCTCTGTCCTGGAGCACCTGTCTATAAAGGTTATGCCTCCAGGGGAGGGGGCTGGCGAGGAAGAAGAGGGACTTGCTCTGCCACAGAGTTCTCAGAATGCAGCTCTGCAGACAGAAGGACAGCCCTGGGTCCGACCTTCTGCCTCTTTGGCTGATATGCTGTCTCCAGGAGAAGGTATCTGGTCTTAACCCTTTGGCTTCCAGAGTGGGGCTTTAGACTCCCATCCATATCCACTCATCCCCTCTGCCTCGCCTCTTCTCCATTCCCCATCCCGTCCTATGCACCAGCAGCGGGCTGGTATTTGGAGATAGCTAAGTATGCCCCCAGGGATGCTCCTGGTGAGTCATGCTCAGTGGGGAGAGGGGAAGATAGAATCAAAAAAATGAAGAAAGGGTGTCCCAGCTGGCCAGTGGCCTAGCAAGTGTATTAGGAGGTCAGGCCAGGGCAGGCTTTCCAGAGAGAAGGGTAAGTGGCCTTGAGGTGGGGTTAAGGGTTGCGAGGCAGCAGGCAGGTAACTGCTATAGGCAGGAGAAATGTAATGGGAATGTTTGAGATGGGGCTGACCAAGTGGGACTTCACCTCAGTATGGAAGACTGGGGGGCCAGGCAGCTGCTTCAGAAAGCCCACCCTGGCTTCCATGGGGAAGAATGGGCCAGAGAAACTGGGGTATAGCTCAGATGGTAAAATGCTTGTATGGCACGCACAAGTCCCAAGTTTGATTCCCAGCACTGTATGAACTGACTGACTGCTTGGGAGCACACACTTGTAATCCCAGTACACAGGAAGTAGATCTAGCATTAGGGCCAAGTTCAAGGTTCATCACTTCCTACTAAGATGGACGTTTGATGCACACCCAACATCCTAGCATTCTTTGGAAGGCTGAAACAATTATCTGTAAGTGCTAAGCCAGTCTGGTCTACCTAGTTATTTTTAGGGCAGCCAGGGCTACACAGTGAGACCCTGTCTCAAAAACAACACCATCAAAAAACATAGTTCTATCTGGGCTGTGGTGGCACATACCTTTAATCCCAGCACCTGTGAGTTTGAGGCCAGCCTGGTTTACAGAGCTAGTTCCAGGATAGGCTCCAAAACAATAAAGAGAAATCCTATCTTGAAAAAGAAAGCAAAACAAACAAACAAACAAAAAACCCTAAAAACATAGTTCTTAGAAAAGTCTTGATTAGAAAATGGTAGGGATAAGTATGGGGGAGATGGCAGATTTATCAACCTACAGAGACTAAAGTAAAAAGAGTGGAGATGCTTAGGGACTCCACAGTTCTGGTTAGATAGCTGGGTGCTGGGAGGTAATCAGTCAGGATGTGGAACACGGGGCGTGTGTGTGTGTGTGTGTGTGTGTGTGTGTGTGTGTGTGTGTGTGTGGTATGAGAATGGTGTTGGTCTGAATGACATTTGAGTGGCTTTGGAGCCATGGGGATGTTGCAGAATATTTGTTTAACTATGTGTTGCATTTGCTTAGTTATGCAAAGATGTGCCACTGCTTTATTTTGCCTGTCTAAGGCATCTGACTGGTCTAATAAAAAGCTGGATGGCCAATATGGAGAGAGGAGGTACAGGAGGGACTTCCAGGCAGGGAGAGTAAATATGAGGAGGAATTTAGGCTGTAGACAGGGTCGGGGAGAGGAAAAGAGACACCAGGGAGATGCTAGGGGCCAGCCAGACAGACATGGAGGAAGAAGGAAAGCAGGACACACAGAATGAAAGAAAGGTAGAAACCCCCAAGGCAAAATGTAGATTAAGGGAAACAGGTTAAGTTAAAAGAGCTAGTGAGTAAGCACAAGCTAAGGTGAGTGTTCATGATCAATAATCGTCTCCATGTCTTTATTTGGGAGCTCGTTGGTGGCCCAAAGAACATGCCAACTACATGGAAGTCTAGATGGAGTCAGGACTGCTAAGGCAGCAGCTGCAAGGGCACAGGCGAGTTCAACAGGCAGAGCAGACAGAGAGGAAGCCTGAGGAAGGACCTGAGGTATGGGGAAGGGAGCGTCACTCATGGCATAGCAATACCACATTCAGATGTGACTGACATCCTCAGTGGGGAGACTGTGAGGGGCGAGCACACAGAGTGCCATGGCCTCCTCCTCCGAGCCCACCGGGGGTGACACGTGGCATCCTAAGTGTCCTTCTCTAGGAGAACTGGGTCAGTACCACATGTGTCTGAGGAAGGCCCAGCAGACAAGAGGCAGGCTGGGAGGGAACCGTCTCTCTAATTTTCTCTGAAGTAGGAGCAGGTAGGGCTTGACAAAGGTGAGCTCATGTGCATGCCCAGGAGGGTGGACGGAGTAGTCTCAGGCCTGGAGCTGGGCAAAGGTTTCGGGCGGCATGTGCTACCCCAGCCTGCTTCAGCTCAATGACCTTCACCTTGCCCCACTGTTCAGGAGGGGCTCCCTCTTTCTGCTGGCCTTCTTGAATTTTTCTTCCCCTGTACCCCTTTTACCTGGCCTCCTGAGATAGGTCTGGACCAGCACTTCCGGAGGATGGGGTGCCCAGTGGGTGCCATCCCTGATGGCCCCTCTACCTCAGCATAGATATTACTGGGGGCTTCCCCAGGACTGCCCCGTCCCATGGCATAGAAGGCTATGGGTTCGTCAGGTTCCTGGTAGATGGGGTTAGTGGGTAGAGCCCGATGGGGTCGTGAAGCAGGACTTGAATAGACTTCAAGAGGAAGCTGAGGCTTGGCAGGGATGGGAGGCCTGGCACTGGGTGAAGTCTAGGAGAGAAGGCAAGGCCAGGGAAGAGAACTGATGAGCCCCATGTGGACAGCATCTAACTCAAGCTTACCTCGGCCTAAGCCTCTACCCATGAGGCCCCTACTCCCCTGGCCTCTCCTCCATCCTGTGTCCCCTCTCCAGACCTGACCCCTCCCTGTCTAGCTGACCCACCTCATACAGTACCTCTTTGGGTTGGGAAGCCCACACTTTCTCTTTGTGCCCTGGGGCCTGGGCCTGCCCCTGTTGTATGAGCAGGCTGTGCTGGCTGTCAGGATCCTCTTGTCTTTTGCTTCCAGAGACTGATTCGGTCCTCATGAAAAGTCCAGCTGGCTCGGCAGTCTGTAGGGAAAGAAGGTGGCCTGAAGGATTGGGGCGGGTGGGGATGACAGGTAATTCGGGAAAAGCAATTAGGTCTGAGAGGAAGGAAGAGATGGAGAAGTGTGGCGTGTGGAGTTCTGTGTGAGGAAGGGGGTGAGAAGGTGTTGAGGAGGCCTGGGGACTATGGGTGGAGGTGAACTCTGGTCACAGATGTATCCAGCACTGAACTTCATTCATCTAGAATGCAGTCTAGTCTGTGCTTGTGGCTGCAAAACCAGGAGGCTCTAGGAGTCTTTACTTTCAAAACAGTCAGCATGGGGACAAACCTCCATGACAGCTGGGCCTTATTTCTTCAGGCTCAAGAAGCTTAATATAGGACAACAGAAGCTACACGAACTTTCCCTTCAAACTAGCCCGTGGTAGTTACGCTTTCAGCTCCGCATTAAAGCTAGCCTCACGAAAGGCTCCATGTGCCCTCTGCTTCTGGAGGCCAAGGCCACAGGGCTTTCTAGATCCAAGTGGGAGTTCTTTCTTTTAGTGCCCACCCTGTACTTCACTGCCTTTCCTTCAAAAAGCACTATTCCCCTCCTGCTACTCAAATGGCAGGAAAATCAGCCTCAGACCTCACCACTCTCCTACCTCAATTCCAACACAAGATCTACTCTGCCCACCACCGGTCTTGGCCATCTCTAAGCTCATACACAGCTGGCACCATCGTTAGGCAATGCCCCCACCCCCAACCTCCAATTCTCACGCCACTCTGCAGCCTTTTTGCCAAGTCTCTCCAGCTACACTGCAGGGCTTCCTGTTCTAGAAGGATCCAGACCTTCAAGCTTGGTTAGTGCAGGAGGGCCCAGTTCCCACTCTGACTTTTGTCCCAGACTGGATCCAGCCTTTCTCCTGTGGATCTGGGGATTGAACTCAGGGCCTTCCAGCTACACGGCAACCCCAGCTTCCTACTTGACCTCTCAAACTACAAATGTTTCTCCCTGGCTGAGACATGCTCCTCCTCGAGCCTTCATCTAAACATCTTCCTGCTTCCTCATCTAGTTCTGCAGAGACCCTGTCAGCTCCGTCTTTTAAATAGCCAGCAGGCCCTCTTACTCCTTCAGCTCCCTGCACTAGCTTCCCCTCACCTTCTGAAAGTGGGTAGCCGTCTCCATCTCTAGCGGCCTTGCCTGGCCCTCATGAACTGTCTGGTCAGGCCTTTGCTCCTAACTCTCCAGTGCACATTACCTGGAGTAAAACCTCAGACCCCTGTAAGAGCCACAGGGCTCCCTCCCCTCACCCTTCGGACTTCATTTCAGACCTCTCCATTTCACCAGTCATCCTGATCCATGGCAGCTTTCTTGCTGTTCATTATTCTTCAAACACACCATGTACCCTCACACTTCAAGGTCTTTGCCCTGGCTGTTACTTTTGCCCCAAATCTTTTTCCTCCAGCTGTCTTCAAGCCTCCCTTCTTTCACTTTATTCAGGTCTCTGTTCAAATGCCCCCCACCTTCCCTGCTGTCCCTGTGTGAGAGTGCCAGCCCTGCCACTCTCCATCACTGCCTGGCTTTCTTCCTAGCTCTCAGCCTTTCTGCCATCAGCTCGTTCTCGGTATTGCTTACGCTGTCTGTCTTGCCCTGGAACAGATGCCTCATGAAGGTCAGGATACTTTCTGGTCATTGTTTATTTCCTCAGTGTGTAGAACCACGCTAACTAACACACAGTGGTCAGAAGCACCTGCACTTTTTGAAGGTGGGTGCTCCCTGACAATTCCTGCCAAGCTAAGCGGTGGACCTTGCATTCCCTGGCATCCATTACAGCCTCTGCACTTGATCGTGTAGACATCGGACCGTCTGATGCCACTATTGTGGTAAGGTTTATGAGTGAGATGTCCACCTGTCATGGCCATAGGTCTGTTTGCAGGACCTCTCCTCTTCATCCCTGCTCCAGAGACTCGGTAAACCTAGCTTAATTTAACTTGATTGCCTCCCTTTTACCCTTCTGGTCTGGTCTAGTGCTTTTCTGGAAGAGGTCTGGGTAGGCAAGTCTGGCCAGTCATGGTTTGGAGTGAGAAAGGCAGATGCCAGGAGCCTGGATCTGGCTGGGATGCTGGACGTGGCAGCAGCAATGACAGTGGCCAGAGTTGTGGGTTTGGGGTAAGGGCTCACCTGGCGGGCAAGGGGCTGGGTGAGCGTCTCCCCATAGGGGCTGAGAGGACACTCTGTGTAGTGTTGAAGCAGGTCCTGAAGCTGCGCATGGGCACTGTCTTCGCCCAGCACCACGTGACGCCCATCCCCTAGCTGGGCAAGGAGGAAATGACGGCAGCAGGTCCGGCTCCTGGAGGGGCCACTTTGGGTCAGACTTACCATTTCTTCCCCCACCAAGCTGAAGGAAAAGCCCTGAGCCCTCCTTGGAGAGATAGCAGGTCAGCGCAGGGTCTGCTCCTTGGTTAGCACAAAGCCCCGCATCCAGCTTGTCAACAAGGACCTGCCCCTTACCTGTAGGATAGCACGAAGGTCACAGCGCTCTCGCTGAAGCGCACCAAATAGCATCCTTGAGGCTGGGGCTGCAGCAGCCTCTCAGCTTCCCTGTACAGTTGGAGAGAAGGGTGGGGTCGGTTCTGACTCTTGCATCTCATTTCTGACTCTCAGGCTTTCGTAAGAGACCCCTCACCCCCATCCCAAGCAAGTATAACACGACTATGTGGAGACGAGGGGTCAGGGGTCCAACCCAAGGGGCCCTGGGCTTCACCTTGCAGTATAGTTTGGAGGGGCAGCTGCAGGAGCAACAGATATGGCCGTTACAAGAGCTAGAGTTTAGAAGGCAAAAGCTGGGTTGAGGAGATGATGAGAGAGAAGGAGGGTTGAGAAATGGCGGATGGAGGATCTGCAAGGGTAGGAAGAAAGAAGAGGGGGCTGGACAGAGCTGATAGAGATGGGGCTGAAGATATGAGGACTGGAGGCCTAGAGCCTATAGAATAAGTGAGCCGAGGGAGAGAAACTGAGGCACAGAGTGGGTTGAGCCAGGGGTCCCCTCAGTGAAAGGTCTGGGAAACTAGAGTCCTAGCCGTCATGATTTCCGGACTGACTCAGCCCCACAGCCGCTGCACCTTCTGGGGGTTTTCTCTTCTGTGACTCACCGCCGGGTGATGAAGCCATGGAACCAAACAGGGGCAGTCCTGAGCAAGAGCCAGTGGGCCTGGGTCTTCTGGACCCACGCTCTGGTCTCGGCTTGCAGGGACAGACCATCTTTCCCAGGCACCTCTTCCTCCTTGTCGGCATTCCCTAGGACCCAGGCTGAGGCGGAAGCCTGGGTATGAGAGAAGTCAGTGTGAAGCAGCCATAATCATAATTAGAGGGCACAGCTGCCTCCCTTTTACCCTCATACCAGCACCTCGACCTATTTTAGGGTCAGATTGCCCAGGAAGTCCTTCCCAAGGCCACTGACATAAGTTTCTTCTGGCCTTCTGATGGCCTTCCATACTAGCCACAGAGGGCAGGAGATGGTATAGGAAGTTGCCTCAGGCAGGAGAGGGTGGCTTCTTCTTAAGTAAAGGACACTGAGCTGGTTGGTGGCTGGGAGAGCAAGGGACTGAGACAGGACTTTTAATGCTTTGGGGAAATGGTGCTGACAGGGAACACAGACAGCAGCAGCATCTGGGGTCAGTGCCTGATGTGTCCTGGTCCCCTGCTGGCTGGGCCTGAGCTTTCCAGAGGAACTGAGGGCAAGTGGGTTGCTATGCAAGGAAAAGAGGCCGTCCCACATCCTCCTTCCTCTGTATCTAGCCTTGTCCTCCGCCAGCCGTTCATTCCTGCTGGCCTTCTGAATCCATCTGCGTGCCCTCATCCTTGAGAGGGTGGGAGCAGATGAGGCAACTGTACCCCTCCATGTTCTACTCACCATGTCGTGGGTGGCCCTGGGGCTGAGCTGAACCTCCCCTTCCTTCAGAGCCTGCATGCTGGGCTTGCTCCCCCAACCCAATTCCTGGCATCTCCCCTGGGTCAAGTTCATGGGCTGGGAGGTGCTGAGAGTTGGGGAGGGGACTTCACGATTCTCTGTTGGAACAAAGGGGGTTGCTGGGGTTTCTCAAGAGGGGATTGCCTCTCCCTTCCTCCTATACCCCAGGCTGAGAGTGTCTCTCAAACATCCCTGAAGAGGCTTTTCCTGACAGCAACAGTCATGACCACAGGCTGAGGGCAGGTGTAGACCAGGGACAGGAATAAGGAGCCGCGGTGTTCCAGAGGGACTGATGGTGACGAAAAGGACCGTTGTCAATGAGAAAGAAACCCTGGGAGCTAGGCTGGCCTTCTGATGTGGGAAGTAGGCTGGCTCTCTGACGGCCTGGAAGCTGTGTAGAGAGGCGAATCCCTCCAGGCCAGGCCCCTCTTTTTGGTCTATGCTCTTCCATCTGCCATCTTCTTTTGCCCTCTTGTTCCAGTCTCCTAAAAATCCGAAGACCCTGTCCCCTGCCCTCAGGGATGCCTCGAGATGGAGCCCCAGAGACAGAGCAGCTCTGGCTTGGGCCAGCGGCTGTAATGAAGTGGGAGTTCAGGCCCAGGGAGACAGTAGAGGCAGGGGAGTCCTGAGCATCACACGTACCTTGGGGGCATGTCTGAGCCAAGCAGAACTCCATAGAGGCAGGTGTATGTGCTCTCAAAAGAGGAACGCACGCACTCCGCGGCAGCTCATCTCTCCTCTCACGAGTCCCCCAGGGACAGGAAATGTCGCTTTACCCACCTCCTTTGTTGTAAAGAGGACCCACGTCATGGAAAGCCCTGGAAGTCAACAGACCCGGCCCTGGGAGGCAGGCAAGTGGGGTGCTGGTGGCTTACTCTGGTAGCTGCTGAGGAGTGCTTGCTAGCTGACCTTTGTCCCCTCCCTGAAAGCTCTATAAGACTTCAGACATTCATAGTCAGAAGTTTACTTTGAGGCGAGCCATGAGGATGGAGGGGCAGGACAGCAACAGGAAGGATGTGGGTTAGACTTCTGGAAGAACTTTGCGTATGTGTGTAGGGGGTCTGTGTTTGTGTGATACCTGTGTTGTACCACAGGCACACTTGCCCATGTGTGTACATGGAAACTAAAGGACGAAGCAAGCATCTTCCTCAACCAACCCCTCCACCTTCTACTCTGAGACAGGGTCTTTCATTGAGCCTTGAGTTCATAACTTCAGCTGGACTGGCTGGTCAGTTATCCCCCCCTCCACTATCTCCCCTTAAGCCAGCACTGGGGTTACAGGCATGTGCCCAGTTTTTATGTGCTTGCTGAGGCTCCCAACTCAGGCCTACAAGTTTATACGGCAGGATTTTTGCTCATGGAGCCATTGCTCCAGTGGCTGGAGGGGCTTATTTTCAGCTATATGAGATCCACTAGACACGGAGTTTCCTTGAGCAGATAATGGAGTTGGATTAGGGCAACCCTTGGGGGATTCTCTAAGTACACAGGTTAGCAGGTGAGGTTGAATCGGAACTGTCACCACAAGTTTGTGCTTTGAACATGTGCTTCCAAGCAGTGCTGTCTTGCCTTGGGAAACTGTGGGGCTTTTAAGAGGTAGAGTTTGGGGATGGGTGGGGGGGGGAGGAAGCAGGTCACATGGGCAGGTGGCATCCTGCATCTTTTGGTGTCAACCCAGGAGAACAGATTCTATGACCCATTTAACATTACTTAGAAATGGAAAAGACTTGCCAGGTGGTGGGTGGCGCACGCCTTTAATCCCAGCACTCAGGAAGCAGAGGCAGTGGATTTCTGAGTTCAAGGACAGCCTGGTCTATAGAGTGAGTTTTAGGATAGCCAGGGCTTATACAGAGAAACCATGTTTCGAAAAACAAACAAACAACAACAACAAACCAAAAACCAAAAACCAGAAAATACTCTATAGAATTTACTAGATAACTGTTTGATCTGATAACACAGTTTCAGGATACAAAATCAATACCAAAACACTAGCCTTTATATATACCAACAATGTATTCTCAGAAAAAAAAATCCTATTTGTGATAGCTCCAAAAAGTTAAGCATGTAGGAACACACCTAAACAAAGAAGAGCAAGGCCTCTTCCAGGAGAACGTGAAGGCATCAAAAAGGAAATCAAAGAAGGCTCTAGACGGTGTAAAGACATTCCATGCTCCAGACTGGCAGAGTTAATAGTGTGAAAATGGCTGTACTACCGAAATTAATCTACAGATTTAATGTAATACCTAAAAAATTCCAATGCCATATTTTACAGATTTAGAAAAAACAATCCAAGAAGTCGTCTGGCACCACCGAGGAGTACAGATAGCAAAGCATCCCAAAGAGTAAGAACACAGCTGCAATATCACAGTAGCGACCTTCAGATGGAGATACAGTGATTAATGGAACCTGGAACTGGTAAGAAAGCAGAGGATTAGACCAGTGCAACAGGACTTTTGACAAAGGGGACAAAAAAATGTAGTGAAAAAGAAAAAAAAAAAAAGCCTATTCAACAAATGGTGCTAGCAAATTGGATATCCACGTGCAAAATAATGAAATTGGATTCACATCTTTCATCTTGAACAAAAATCAATTTAAAATGGATCTAAGACCTTAATTTAAAAATGGAAACTTCTAGAAGAAAACATAAGGATTACTCTGCAAGACATTGGGATAGGCAAGAACTTTCTTAACAGAATACCAGGATCACAGGAACTAGTCTTGAGTATTAAAGATGGCACAACACAAAAATAAAAGTTTCTGTGAAGCAAAAGATTCTATTGGAAGCTGGGTATGGTTGCACCCAGCGCTAGAGAGGCATGCAGACCTCTATGAGTTCAAGGTCAGTCTGCTTTACATATAAAGACCTTGTCTCAAAAAACCAAAACCAAAATAAAACCCCCAAACAAGGGACTAATATCTAGCACGTACCATGAACTACTGAAACTAAATATCAAGGAAACAAAACTTCCAGTCAACAAATGGCAGATGAATTGACTAGACAGTTTTTAAAGGAAGGAATACAAATGGTCATTTGTATTTTACAAGATGTTCAAAATCCCTAGTCATCAGGGAAATGAAACTACTCTGAGATACCTCTAGCCCTAGTCAGAAGGCTGTCATCAACAAGCACCCTGCATCAACAAATGCTGGAGAGGATGTGGAGAGAAAGGAACCCTTATTCACTGTTGGTCGGAGTACAAATTAATATAGCCATTGTGGAAATCAGCTTGGAGATTCCTCAAAACATTAAAAACAGAACTACCATAAGACTCAGCTATTTCATTCCTGGGCTTAGACCTAGAGAGCTCCATACCCTATTCCAAAGATGCTAGCACCCTGTGTTTATTGTTGCTTTATTCACTGTAGCCTAGATGTCAGTGGCAAATGAATGGGAAACGAAAACCTGATATGTATGTAAAACGTAATATTATTCAGTGACAAAGAAAGAAAATCACAAAACTTTTAGGAAATTAGATGGACTTAGAATGTACAATAAACATCCAAACATCGCAGGCCATTGTCAAAGCTATTAGTTGTTCTCTACAACGTGATGGTAAGGCTCTATTACTGAAGACAATACTTTCGCATGCCATCAAACATGGAGAAGTTTCAGCCCTGTTGACTATCATGCAAAATACTAGAATGTAATCTACATGCTACAGGAGGAGAAAGGTTGTCATCAATATCACCCAGCTGTAAACCCCGTGACCATCAACAGTGACCTGCCTGTGCCAAATACTGGTGTCCTAGTGGCACAGATGTTATGGGAGTAACCAACCACTTTCTGGTTGGATTTAAGGACCACTCTATGAGACAGAACTCACACCTGACACTGTTAAAGTGTCCAAGAACTTGAAACTAGATAGGTCATGGGCTAGGGGAAAATTTACTGCTATTATTCTACTAAAGGGACATAGCAATAAGGTGACCTCCTAAGTTGGGCATGGGGGTGCACATCTTTAATACAAGCACTCAGGAGACAGAGGCAGGTGGAACTCTGAGTTTGAGGCCAACTTGTTCTACAAGGTGAGTTTAGGATGACACAGAGAAACCCTAGCTCAAAAAATAAAAACAAAACTAAGCAAAATTTTAAGAGCACCCTAATGACACACTGCCTGGATCAACCCACATCGGAGAAGCATCTTCTTTTAGTAGATGAAAATCAACATAGAGACCTACAACGGGAAAATGTGAGGCGTAAGAGACTTGGGAGCACTCAGTACCACATGGGATGTCTTTTTCAAACCCTACCCCCACAAGGCTCTGGTTTATTTAGACGGAGCAGGGGAAAGACTGTAAGAGTCAGAGGCAATGGACGTTTCCAAGGAAACAGTGTCTTCCCGACACAACAGGACTGATGATATATGAACTCACAAAGATTGTGGCAGCAGGCACAAGACCTGTTCCAGTTCCAGCTAGACGGGTCCTAGTAAGATGGGGAAATGGACAAAGGCTGCCACCCTTAACCAAGAAGCTATCTGCGATTGATGAAGGGGAAAAAAAAATCAGTTTTCTCTGACGGAATGTCACTGGGTATATCAAACATTCTCCATAGTACTCCCCATGCAAGAGTAGTTAGTTGGCTAACACAAAGTGAACTCAGGGGCATTTCTGTGGACTTGTTTCATTTTGCTTTGTTTTGGCTTCTTTTTTTCTTATTAGTCTTTTGTTTGTTTTGATTATAGTTTTTTGGGGGGCTTTGTTTTTTGGTTTGTTTTTGAAAGAGAAAGATAAAAGAACATAAATCTGGGTAGGTAGGGAAAGTGGGGGTCTGTCTGGGAAGATTGGAGGGGGAAAACATGATCGAGATATACTGTACAGAATTTTTTTCAGTAATGAAAAGGAGCTAGGTGGTGGCGGTGCATGTCTTTAATCCCAGCACTCAGGAGGCAGAGGCAGGCAGATCTCTGTGAGTTCAAGGCCAGCCTGATCTACAGGGTGAGTTCCAGGATGGCCAGGACTGCTACACAGAGAAACCCTGTCTTGAAAAAAACCAAACAAAACAAAAAGAAAGGAGACAGAGAAAGGGGTGAGGAAGGACAGAGTGCAGGCAAAAGACACTCGAGTTGTGAAAGAGGACATAAAGCCAATTGTTTTTCCAGTTTCAACTCTGTCAAGGTTCTTTTTTTATGTAGTGTTAAGTGCATAAAAATGTGATCGACAGCCAGTGTATAAAATCATGAGTAAAGCCTCACAGTTTCAGAATAGACACTCTAATGGCATAGATCACTGGGGTGTGTGGAATCTGGGACTGGACAAGTGTTTGAGTGGCTACTGTAATTCAGCTGTGTGATATTTTTGTTTGTGTGTTCATTACAAAATAGAAATGGAAAGCTGAACTGGGTATAGTGGTGCAAGTGTTTAATCCCAGCACTGAGGAGGCAGAGGTAGGAAGACAGATTTCTGAGTTCAAGGCCAGCCTGGTCTACAGAGTGAGTTCCAGGACAGCCAGGGCTAAACAGAGAATTCTTATCTAAAAAAAAAAAAAAAAAAAAAAAACACCAACCAAAACCAAAACCAACAAATTAGGAAAGTAGGTGACACAGAGAGATCAGTTTCACACTTCATTCTGAGGGCTTGTATTTGAACTCCAGTTGTGGCTACCAAAAAAAAAAAAAAAAAAAAAGTGTGAGGAGGGAGGAGGGAAGGGAGAGGAGGAGGGAGGAGGGAAGGAAGAAAAGGAGGGAGGAGGGAAGGGAGAAAAGGAGGG